ATGGGGAAGTAGAGTGGGAGACGATGTGTCGGGTTTGGTGGTTGTTTGGTTTGGTTTCACAATGGCAAAACGGCATTGCTTCACCTCAACGTGTGCATATGGAGTATGAGGTTTGTTACCCCGTGCAAGAGGGAAACACGTGCATAGCGCACTGGACGCAGACATGCAGACCATACCACGGCGTGCCATGGCCTGTTTTCCTCCTCGGAGCGTGGCCGGCAGGACAGGGACGACCGAACTGCACCAGGGCGTGCGTCTGCCCGTTCTCTGCCCCGCTGCGTGGCCTGCGGGACGTGGACGCTCGAACTGCGCCAGGGCGTGCGTCGGCCCGTTCTCTGCCCCGCTGCGTGGCGGGAACACTCGAACTGCACCAGGGCGTGCGTCGGCCCGTTCTCTGCCCCGCTGCGTGGCGGGAACACTCGAACTGCACCAGGGCGTGCGTCTGCCCGTTCTCTGCCCCGCTGCATGGCCTGCGGGACGTGGACGCTCCAACTGCACCAGGGCGTGCGGCGGCCCGTTCTCTGCCCCGCTGCGTGGCCTGCGGGACGTGGACGCTCGAACTGCGCCAGGGCGTGCGGTGGCCCGTTCTCTGCCCCGCTGCGTGGCGGGAACACTCGAACTGCACCAGGGCGTGCGTCTGCCCGTTCTCTGCCGCGCTGCATGGCCTGCGGGACGTGGACGCTCGAACTGCGCCAGGGCGTGCGGTGGCCCGTCCTTTGCCTCGCTGCGTGGCGGGAACACTCGAACTGCACCAGGGCGTGCGGTGGCCCGTTCTCTGCCCCGCTGCGTGGCCTGCGGGACGTGGACGCTCGAACTGCGCCAGGGCGTGCGGTGGCCCGTCCTCCGCCTCGCTGCATGGCGGGAACACTCGAACTGCACCAGGCCATGCGTCGGCCCGTTTTCCACCTCGGAGTGTGGCGTGCGGGCCTGTTTTCCTCCTCGGAGTGGGGTGTGCGGGACACCGACGTGCGAACTGCACCACGGCGCGCCCTGGCCCGTTTTCCTCCTCGGAGCGTTGCGCAGACGGGGGAACTGCGTCGGGGCATGTTCTGGCCCGCTTTCTGACTCGCTGTGTGGCGAGCGGGACACAGATGCCTGTATTCTTCCAGGTTGGGCCCCGGCCCGTTTTTTGACAAATCGGGACATTACGAGGCAGCGCGTCACGAGCAATCTCAGACTGTGCTCACCCACCCCACCTCCCTCCATGCTCAGATTGCCTCAAAACAGTGCATCATTTCCGCCAAATAGGATACAGAGTATGACTACGCAGCTACAGAGTGCTCCACATAGTGTGATACTGCTGGGAAGTAGTCCAAGTCAGTGAGGGCAGCCACGCAAACAGGCACCCATGAGGCCCCGAGAACGCAGCTCTGCCTGCCGAATGCTCTGGAGAGGTCGTGGGGTGTCGCGATCGTGCAGGTAGATAGCCTAGAGTCTTTTTGTACAGTAGAATGTATTCAGAGGAAATGAGTGCCAGCGCTAGAGCAAAATTGAGACGAGAGCGTAAGCGGCACGGGCGCCGTATATAAGTTGGGGCGCACCGTGTGTTGAGTTCTCACACTCTCATCCTAACCTCGTCTCGCTCCTTCTCGCTCGTGCTCTCCGCGCATGCTGCACCATCGCCGTCGTTGTAGGGGCGTCGGCGGAGGGTGTGCTGCATCCGCGTGGCCCTGGGTTTGATGAGTCCGGCGCACGGTGTCGTGTACTCGTCCCGGCGTATCTAACGAGCTGTTACAGATGCAAACAAGTCAGCACCCGCAGGGACAAGACGTGGGGCACGAGGTACATACCGGGGCAGTCCTCGTCGTGTGCCTGCTGTCGCTGACGTGTCCGCAGGTGCAGCCACCCGTACGCGGTGTCTCGACGTCGGTCGGCATGTGCACGAGCACGAATACGGTACATTTAGTCGGTTTTGTCGTCTACACAGCGCGCCCACTCACTACAATTCCAGGTTCGGGCAGTGAGGCTGGACGGGCTTGAGGGAGCGGGCGAGGGTTGTGCCATCATGCAGGTGAGGAGGAACGCGGGAGGCCAGTAGTGAAGTCGTGCGTAGCTGTAGCTGAGATATCTGGACGTCCAGTGATGGTGGGGCTGCGCGTACACATCTCCCAGGCCGGATATCGTGAGTTGACTCGTGTGTCTGCACGTGTGCTGCGACTAACGTACCTATCATCAGGTCCCCGGCGCGATTACTGGCCAAGGTAGCGCAATCGGAGGGCATCGCAGTGGGCTAGCGGCGATGCAGCAGGTACGTCCTTCGGCTTGACCTGAGGATTGCGTGAACTCACACCTTTACAGGTAGTACGAGTGTTGAGGGAATTAGAGCGGCCGGCGTTGCAGGAGGCGGGCGGGACGAGGTGAGAGGACGGCAGTTAGGCGCCCGCGGGACGTCGCAGCTCGCACGCGAGGTTGTGCGTGCCGTCCGGACTGGTAGGTCTTGTAGATAGCGGTGTAGTCGTCTTGAATGCCGTAGCAATGATATATGAAGCTGTTAACGGAACTGGACGGGAGTAAGCGGGTGTACAAGGTCGTGAGGTCGTGAGGAGGGTATACCTGGACCCGAGTAGGGAGACTTTCGTTGCATGTAGGGGTACGTTGGGCGTGTGGTAGCGTATGGTAAGTGCGTCGTAGGCCACAGGGGCCGTGTGTACCCCAAGGGTGCGTCGGCGGCCCCTCTGTGCGCGTTTTTGAACGCCTGCGCCGATCGCCGCGATTCCTTCGCGTCCTAAGAGAGTCAGGCGCCCTCTTTCGATCCGCGGCGGTTTCGCGGCAGATCAATAAGGCCGCTGTGCTTCCCGCGGGCACCCCAGCGCGTCCCGCGCGATGCGCATGCGTGTTCCGCGCTGAAAACCGCGGTCCTGCACTCGAATGGACGTCAGCTATGACTCTTGTATTAGTAGCCTGGCCAGGGACGTACTCACTGGCGAGCTACCAAAGAGGGCGGACGGTGGACGCCTATCCGAGCGCAGGAGGCGCGGTCGAGACGGCGCGACGGCGTGCAGTTTGGGGCCGGAGCGGGCTGGAGACGTCGGAGAGAGGGCAGGTGGTCGGCCTTGGACGTCCTGGCGATGTGTGCAGGGTGCAGGGCGGGGGTGGCAGCCGTGGGGCGTGTACTGGCTTGTTGAACGCATCCCTGGGCTCGTTTTCGTCTAGGAGAGCATGCTGGTGGTCTGCCTGTGTGTTGAATGCAAGAGGCGGCGCGATTCGCGCGCGAGGACGGTCCCAGGGAAAGGTGCGCTTGAACGCCTATTGCCTGGCCGGCGAGATCGTCGAGAAGTGTTCGCATCTGTTGAGGGTGGTCTTCTTAGTGAGTCGAATGGATATATCTACCGTATGCACAGCGATGGCGAGCGAGGCGGGCTAGAAATGAAGCTTATGAGCCAGGTTTTGGACGATGGGAGATGAAAGTTAGGCATACAACGAGAGGATCTGTCCGATGGCCGTCCGAGTGCGAGCATATCCGGCGAGGGATACGAGACTGAGGGGACAGCAGGTCGCAGGGTCGCAGGAGGTGCACCAGTGAGAGGCGAGCAAGACGTGAGACTGGTGGAAGTGGGGAGAACGGGCAGCCAAGAGCGAGAGGCGAGGGCGGCAGGGCGAGAGCTGCTTAGTATCCGCGAGCTGAGAGGCAGAAATGGGCGGCAGCAAGAGACGCGTTCTCGAGGGCGCGGTGGGAGAAGCAGAGGCGGAGTGGCGCAGAGACGCGCTCTGCTGATGACGTCGCGCGTGGGTTAGGGTCGCCCGCGTCCGACAATCGCGGAGAGCGCAGAATGCCCTGACCTCGATACCACGTGCGGTCGTTCGACCGCGTCCATCCCTCCATCCCTCCATCGCCTCTCCTCTCCTCTCCCACCACCACCACAGCCCGCACACGACCATGGCAGACGCAAAGGCCCAGAAACGCCAGAAGTTCGAGGACGTCTTCGCCGTGCTCCACGACAAGCTCCTCGTGTACCATACCTCCGCCAGAAGGGCATGCCCCAGGACGCCGTCGACTGGTACTACCGCGTACGCCCTCTCCTCCCCTCTCGCTTGTCTTCCGGCTCCTGCTCGCTTCCCGCCCCCTCGACACTGCTCAGGACGTGTTTGGGCGGGAGCTCCAGGCCGTCGCCAGATCCCTTCCCGATCGCCAGACCGTCCTCCTCTGCGAAAGATGCGCTTGTCCCGCCTCGCTCGGTGCTCGTTCACGTCTCCTCCGCCCGTCTCCTGTCCCCTCCTCTCCCTCTCTGCCTGCCGTCTGTCCCGTACATCTAAATCTAGCAGGCAAATTTGCAGTCCTTCGCGCAGGCTTACGGCCGTATCCATCCTACGCGCATACGGATGCACCAATGGCGAGAACGGCCACTCTTTCGGCCATAACTCAACGGGAACTCGCCGCACACGCCTCAAATTCACAACGAACGACAGCTATCGTCGGACGGTGTCGCCGGTAAGAGCACGAAGACGCCGCGCGACTCCTCTGCATACAGTCCGCCATCCACCTCCGGGCTGTATGTGCCGTCCTCGCGTCGTGTGACGACACCTAGCGTCCGGGATATCTGTAGGAGGCGGTTGATAGAGCCCTGATGCAGCTACTGGTGCGTTACCAAGCCATTCCTGCGCGAACTGCTCTCACAATGTGTATATTACTGCTGCGCCAGCCTATGTCCCCCGTGAACACTTCGCCCCGCCTGTGCCCCTCGACACCCCGCCTTCAAACGCTAGGGTTCGTCGCAGGGTACCCCAATTATGACACCTGTCGACGCACGAAGTCGCCGCGCGTAAACTGCGCCCGCCACGCCTCTCACAGCGAGCGGGCCACCCTGCCGACCTCCGACCGCTCCCAAACCGCATCGCATGCGCTGGCGCATCCCACAACCGGACTTCGAGGTGTAAACCGTCCGTATCCCGCCGTACGTGCATTATCAGCGCGCGCCATCGTGTACTACTCTGACAAACTCGCAATTACAGGGCTCCCGCACACCGAAACTCGTGTGTACCGCCCCGTACGGCTCCATTGCGCCCCAGCTTCTGGATATCACACGCCCAGGACGGGCTCTATTATCTGCCAGGTGTCTGCGCGCGCCGCAAAGGAGCGTGGCGGGCTCGGGAGCAAGGTGTCTGCGCGCGCCGCAAAGGAGCGTGGCGGGCTCGGTGCAGAGCAAGGCCGTCTCGCGCTCCGTGGCCATCTTGCGGTCGTCCCGGTCCGCACCGCAACCCCGTTTTGGGTGTATCACATCGAGCTCGCTTCGGACTCTCGTGCGGTGCGTTTCCAGCCGCTACGCACGCGAACTGCGCTCACGACGTCGCATTTTCAGGTGCCTGTCCCTGCCAACCCTCGCTATTTCGCGATGGCGAGGCTCTGGCCTCGATACTCACGATGGCGGACACTGTGCATGCGAACGCACACGTGGTACGCGCGGCGCTGCAATCCGCGTAGAACGACGCCAGGTCGGGCTCGACCGATTTCAGGGACCGGCCCGCCTTCGCGAAGCCAAAATCGCGCACACCTCTTCGCGTACGTCACGCCCCGCCACGTCGCTTCACACATCGTAGGACGCCCACCCTCTGCACCATGAGGCACGTTCCCCGCCCGCACGTGTGCGAACTGCGCCGGTGATCTCATTTTCTCAGGCCGCCCAGGCCAGAATCGACAATGCCGACGACTTTGCGCGCACACGCCGCCCCGTGGGCCTCCCACAACGCAACGCGGGGGTCTATGCACCAGGACGCACCCGCCCCACGACTTACGGCATGATCGGGGCACAAAGTAGTTCGCTCGTTTCGACCAATTTCATGGGTCGATGGGACCGCGACGCGGCCGAATCGCCCGCCCAGCAGCCGTGCCGCCGCGCACGTACACTTTGCCACACACGGGACGCCGCCTCCGCCGCTCGCAGGCATGTGCGGGGCCGTCGCGCGTTGGCGCCATCGCGGTGGAACCCTCACTGAAGCTGGGCGCGGACGACTTCGCGCACGCACGCCGCACCGCTGGCCTCCCCCAGCGCGACGGCAGGCTCTACGCACCACACCGCACACGCCCCCACTGTCGCGTCGCGATCCGAGAAGAAGTCAATCGTGTCGGCTCAACGCATTTCATGGGCTGGGGGTGGGGCGAACGGATGAGATCGCGTGTTCCGCGCCCATCCCGCTCCCGGGGACCGCGATTCTGCGCAGCTGCACTCCTCAGCACCCGCGGCGACGGCCCCGACGCTTACAGGCGCATCCGCGGAGGTTTGTTCCGGCTCGTCGTCGCAGAGCTTGGGCGCTTATGCCTCGGGAGCGGGCAATGGTGGCGTTGTCGCGCGCCGAAGCCGTGTCTCTCATCTCTACGCGTTGGACGGCACATTTTAAGAATCTGGGGGCATGTACGACACGAGTTTCCGCGCGATACGCACACAATATACGTCATTGCATCGCTTTCGACTGACTTCATCGGCGGCAGCAGGATGATCTCGGCCGTCCCGCGCTCGTATCGCCTCCTACGGCTCCGAAACTCGGTATACGCATTTGCAGACACATCCGCCGTGGCCTCTGCACTGTGCAAGGCCGCACGGCGGCGGCGCGGCGCGGCAGGACCGTACCGCCCGCGCCCAGTGCTGTCCCCTCTGCGCCGCAATGGCTCGCCCCACGTGCTCCAAAACACAACGGCGGGCCGTACGCACTCCGCCGCGCACGCCCCCCGCTCTGCGCCGCGATCCAAGCAAGTCGGCTCGAACGCTCTCAAGGAACCCGCTTGGGCGGCGGCGTGTGGCGGCGTTGTCGTGCAATCGCGATCTGGAGACTCGGGGGTCCAGAGCTAGCTCTGGGAGCAAACTCCGGGGCTCGCGGGGGTCGTAGTGGTCCTAGGCTGCCGAAATCGCGCCTGTGTGGCCTTCTGTGTTGTGCGGTGCTGGTCAAGCGGTCTAAACGCGTCCGCGTCGATGGGTGGTTGCGAAATAGCGAGAGAGGGCGTCGGGAGCCCTTGGGAGCCAAGTCCGAGGCTGGCGGACGTTGTAGGGGTTGCACAACGCCGAAACACGCACCTGCGTACCTGGGACTTGTCCCGCGACGCGGATGGCGTGTGGACGCGGCTGCGCGGCCGCATCGTCGAGAACCCGAGGGGGAGAGTGTCAGAAGCTCGGGACCAGGCCGTGGGAGCGAACCTCGACGTTCGCAGGCATCGCAGAGGTCCTCGGGCTTCGCGAAGGCGGACGTGGGATCTCCGGTGTTGTATCGTACACCGGTAAGGATCGAATGCTCTATTAACAGCAAGGACCCGGACGTACCGGCAGGCGAGCTACCCAAGACAGGGAGCGGCGGGCACCTATCCAAGCGAGGGAGGCGTCGAGCTTGATGCTCCACGAGAGGGCGTCCAGAGCGGGGTACAGACGTCTTGGACGTCGAGAAGGGCCGGGGAGAGGGCCCTGTGCTAGTCCCAGAGCCGTCGCAGTCGACAGAGGGCAAGTAGGGACGTCCTAGGCGTGGTGGTGTCGTCTAGAGGGGCGCTGTATGGCGCCAAGCTTTCTGGCAGGGACGAGGATGCGAGAGAGGGCCGCCGTCGGGTGTGAGCAGCGAGCGCAGCGAGGGAGGAGGCATCCGTGTGGCCGTCCAAGACGGACAAGGCCGCGCAGGAGAGCGGCAGGCGGAGCGAGGGCGGTCAGATCGAGGTCGAGCCTCCGCCTGAGCTCAGACGGTGCAGACTGAGACTAGTACTGAGTTTGGCAGAGTGACGACGCGAGAGCGAGGCAGGACGCGAGAGCGAGGCAGGACGCGAGAGCGAGGCAGGACGCGAGAGAAAGGCACAACGACGTCATTGGCAGACGAGCCCGGGACACGATCGAGATAGACGCCCGGTCGATGCGACCCACGTGGGGCAATCGCTCTTCCGTCCCTGCCTCTTTCTCTCCTGCCTCCTCCTCGTTCTGCCGCTGCTGCTCGCCATGGACGACGTCCTGGTCCTGCCTGAGATCACTGCCGAGGTCACCCAGATTCTCTCCAACCTCGTCCTCGGCGACAGTGCCATCCGCACCAGGCAAGTCCTCCGCTCCGCATCGATCCTCTCCCTCTGCTGAACGCGTCTGCCTCCGCAGTGCAGAGAAGGCGGTCAACGACCGCCTCGAGCAGACCCCGGAGCTCTACCTGCTTGCGATTTCCCAGTTCGCCGCCTCTGCCAACACCAAGCTCGTGAGTTCTACGCATTTCCTTGCCCGTACGCGTCCGACTGCGCCCCCAGATGCGCTCCTTTTCTCTCATCCTCCTCCACCGGCTCCTCTTCCGCCCACCCTCGCCGAACCGCCTCGCGCTCTACGACCAGCTCTCCGTGCCCGCCATCGCGACGCTCGAGCGCATCCTGCTCCACTCGCTCCTCCACGAGCCCGCGCCCGTCGTCCGCAACAAAACCGTGGACACCGACACCGATCTCTCCTTGGCCTCACCACCGCCGACGATTCTAGAGCCACTCTCGTTTTCCATATCCTACGCCCAGTCTTTCTTCCCGAGCCATCTCCGCCACCGCCCGAGACATGTGCGAGTCCAACTCCGCGTTCCCAGCCCAGAATCGGGCGTGCGTATGCATCTCCTCACAGCTCTATGACAGAAGAGGTATGTCCTACACGCGTAGATTGCTTGTGAGCACTGCGAACCACCTCTTTCTCCCCCAGCTCTCGACACGAACTCTCCACTCCCACTCTTCAACTCCCTCACCCATCTCGTCTATCTCACCTCAACTTCTCCGCGCATTCGGGAGATCATGACCATGGATGGCGGTCTCGAACGCCTTGTTCGCATCTTGCACGACTTTTGCATCTCCCCGCCACCGCCGGACAATCCTGCCAGTTTCTACGGTCTATCACCCGCCGGCGTCCATGTGCCCAAGCCTGTTCCGACTCTACTCCCCAAGACTTACGACAAGCACGCCGCGTACCGGTTCTCCCTCGCTTTCCAGTGTATTGTGAACATCGGCGTCCGTGGAAGTGAACCAATCCGCAGTCGCGTCGTCCAGGCCGGAACGCTCGAGGTCGTCGGCTGCATTCTCGAGGCGTGGCTCGCTAGCAAAGGCTTCCCCATCGGCCCCAGCCTTGGCGCCAACGGCATGCCCAGGGAAACAAGGGAGCAGCGTCTCGCGAGACGGCAGGCACAGCTTGAGAACAGGCAACGCGAACAAGCCGCGGCAATAGCGCGCGCGCTCGAGCGACAGCTCGCCGCTGAGCGTGCACTTAGGCCAAACGACGCATCCATCCAATCTATCGACATCTCGCAAGACGTGCGTTATGCTATACAACTCTCTGGCGTCATCGTACTAACTTTATGCAGGAGCCCATGCAGACCGATCAAGCTACCCCCGGCGCTTCTCGCGCACAAGACACCGATACCTCCGCAGATACCTCTACCAACGCCACTCCCAACGGCGGCAATACCCCCACTGGCACCGTCGTCGTCCCCGCCAGGGATCGTAGCGGCACCATCATCGCACGTCCTGTGTGGGATCAGCCCACGAACGCCGGCGGCGCCAACGCACGACGACCACACAGGTCGCGTCTCAACGTGCCTGCGGCCTCAGCGGGTCCATCGACTTCGACATCCGCAGCCAACTCACGACCGGAAACGGAGACAGAGGATGATGGTGACGTCGATATGGATCGCGAGAGCCGCGATGGTGACGCTCCTTCACCATCGCCCGAGCGCCAGCCTTCAGACACAGGCACGATCCGTGCCACTTATTCTCGTCGGGCGGTCGGCATCGTCACTGATGCCGCTGGACCTGCTGGGCCGGGTGCGTCGATGGACATGAACTCCGACCCGCATATCGTGATAAACGATGAGGGTGTCGTTACTGGAGTTGGCGTCGAGGACGGGATCGTCTCCCTTGAAGCCAACAACGACTTTGCAATGGGTGCGCCCCCCGGGGCTCCTGGTGCGATCGATGGACCTCCGGCGCGTGCGGTAGCTGACACGCATGCAGGAGCAGGCGAGCGCACACCGCGCGCCGGGACCGCTAACCTTCCCATGACAGTTGTACGACCCACGATGGCGGGCGCCTTTCTCACTGCCCGCGCCACGGAGCTCCCGAGGCCGACTGAGGGTGCGACGCCGCCCTGCGCGGGTAACGTCCGAGGTGCGAACGCGGGCAACAACGCTGCGACGGCTACGCCTGGCGGCGCCGCGCACCACCACTACCATCACCACCACGCGCGCGAGGCGGAGACGGGACCGTACCGCGATGAGGACGTCCTACTAAGTCTGCAACTCCTGGCTTATCTCAGCAAGTACCCGCATTGCAGGGAAGCTTTCTACACCATGCGCCCCAGCTTCCACCCCGCGACGCTTCAGCTCGCGAGTGAAGGCCGATATGGGCAGGCGTCTTCCAGCAACACCACGAGCGGTGCGTCCACCTCCGCGTCGGCGGCGGCGGCACTGTCGAGTCGTGTTGCACCAGCGGCCAACACGAGCAGCACCACGTCCACTAACAAGGATACGCATCCGTTCGTGAAGGCTTTCAATATCGCGGCCGGACGCGGCAAGGAGAAGGAGAAAGAGCGGACGCCGTCGTCTTCGTCCACTGTGACATCTAGCACCGCCGCGGCAAGCGCCAGCGGCGGCAGCCGTCCAAGGATGACAAACGTGTTCGCATTGGTTGAACGGTTTACATACCGGCACAGCTCGTCGGAGCTCGAGTCGTCGAACCCCCCGCCGAGCCTGCCCCCGGAGATCCAGTACTGGGCAGGTGTTATCATGCGGAACACGTGTCGGAAGGACGACAGTCGCAGGGGCATTCGCGAGTGTGCGAACAGTGAGTCGTTGGCGCGTGATTTCGTGTTCTGTGCGTGCACTGACGGAGCGGTAGTGTTGTGTGGGAAGTGGGAGCGGTTCCCGTGGGAGATCGCGAAGTGCAGGCGATGCAGGAAAGCGAAGTACTGCGGGAAGGAGTGCCAGAGCACGGCGTGGAGCAAGGGCCACCGGTTCTGGTGTAGGGCGAAAGATCCCGAGGAGGACGGCGAGCACCATCACCACCACGGTGAGAGTTCGCGCGGCCCTGCTGGTACTGGCAGACCTCCCCCGACCGCGGTGGCCGCTGTGGCAGCAGCTGTGCACCTGGGGTCAGCGTGATGTCCGGCGGCGGGTGCATCAACGGACACAGTGGGCTCAGACCGGGCGGCGGGCGGGTGCGATGTACATAGCAGGACATGAAATATATTTTGTTTGCTCGCACGAATGTGGACTTTTGCGAGGGTGTGTGCGTGTGTGGCTGTGCGGGGTGTGTGTGGGCGCGCGGCGGGTACGCGAGTGGGTTGTGTGTCGGGAGCAGTGGGGGAGGATGGTGGTGGCGGACCGGTGGGGGGCAGACGGCCATGGCGAAATTGACGGACTCAGAGTGTGCAGAGAGTCTCTATAGGGCTGTGGAGAGGGCAGTGGAGTCTGTAGGGCTGTGGAAGGGGTCTCTACAGGGAGGACTTAGGGAGGGCCAGGGGGAGCACTTCACACAAAGCCAGCGAAGCGCACTTGGGACGTCCAATTTGTATTGCATTTCGTGCTACAGTGCTAGTACAGTACAGGGCGCGAGTCTCAAGCCGGGGCGACAGAATCTACAGGCAGCAGAGAGGGAACAGGCTGCAGAGTGCCCTCCCACCCAAACACCTCCCCAGCCCTCTAGGGGCGCGGAAATTGCGCGACGCGGAGCGAGCTGGCTCGTACTATACGGCCATACATGGACGCGCTGAAATCGCGCCGCGTCGTTACAAATCCATGCGCGAATTCGCGAAGAGGTCAGGGAGAGGCCGTGAGAACAGACTCCGCCCGGACTCTCTCCTCGCGCCGCGAGTACGCGTCCGGGCGCGCCGAAACTGCGCGTGCGTGGAGCGCAGAGTCCCTTCATCCTGGGGAATCCGGATGGAGGTCGCTGCGTGGCCGCGCTTTCGAGAAATCGTGAGGAGAGGGGCCCGAGATGACTGTAAGCGTCAAGTTCGGAGCTCAAGTGCTTCGTAGGCGTCCAGGGGCGCTGCTGCATTGCCGCTCTGCGTGTGAGGGAGAGTCAAACTCTCGGAAATGGCCATACAGCCGAATTCGGCGCCGAGCGCGTCGTAGGCCTCCGGGACATCGAAGTCGGTCAGGCCGTCCTGTAGAGTCGTCTGATGCGCTCCGAGGTGGTTGAGCGGCCGCCACTTACCCATGACAGGTCCTGTGAGCGATACACGAGTGAATCGCGCCGATTGGAGTGGTCGGAAGCCGGCGAGTGGGTCCGCGAGGTAGGTCGTCAGATAGGCGCCCATACGACGTCGCAGTGCGCGGACGTCCGCGCGGAGGATGTCGCAGCTGATAGGGCTCCTGGATGCTCTTGTAGCGGTCGTAGTGCATCGTAGTAATGGAATATGTTGTCCCTGAACGAAACAGGCCTAAATTAGTGAGTGCACAAGGAGGGGAGATAAGCAGGGCGTGTACCTGGGTCAACATCATAAAGAAGCGGCTTGCAACGGCCTTGGGGCGTGTGCGACGTCATGGGGGACGTGTAGGATCGTCTTGCATGCGTGTATGTGCGTGGGGTGGGCGTTCGCAGTCGTAGGCGTGGGGAGGAGAGCCTGCACAGAAGTCAGCACATATCCCTCGAGAGCGACAGAGTGCTCACCGGGTCTGTACGCAGGCTGCATGCCCGACGAGGTGTGTGCTGACTGTGTCGTCGAGCGTCGCAGCAGTCCATGCCAGCAGCGCAGATCGCGAGTCGGCGGTGGACACCATGCCGAGCCCCGGATGCGCGTTTGCGAACGGATGCACGTATCGACCTCGTTCTTTCGGAATCCTGCAGACGTGAGGGCACTCAGTCGATCCAGGGACGTTGCGCGCGAGGCCAGTACTTGCGTGTTCTTCCCGCTCGTGGCGCGTCGCGGGGCGCGGAGTCGAGTCCTGCGTGATGCGCATAAGAGTTGCGGCTCCAAACGCCGTCGTCGCACTAGGATAGAGGTCAGGATGGAATGGTCTATTAACAGCAAGGGCCCGGACGTACCGGCTGGAGAGCTGCCCAAGGGAGGAAGCTTCGGGCGCCTATCCGAGCGAGGGAGGCGTCGGACTTGTGCTCCCTAGTTGGACGCCCAGAGCGGGATATGTGCGTCCAGGGCGTCCAGGAAGTCGCATAGAACGAGTTTTGTAGCTTCTGAGAGTGCCGGGCGCATGGGGAGGGTCCAGGGCGAGGGAGAGGAACGTGTAGAGGCCCCAGGGCGGCTGCAGGCCAGCGGGGACTGGATGGAGGTCCAGGGCGTAGTTTGTCGTCGAGATATGGCGCTGTATGTCGCCAAGTGGCGTTCCAGTTGTCAAGAGCGTCAGAGACTGGAGAGAGGAGGGCAAGGGCGGCCAGAGTCGACGAGCAAGCGAGCTCAGGACGCGGCGAGAGGGAACACGAGCACAGAGGCTCAATGATTGGTTCCGAGGCCGTCTAGGACGCGCGAGGTCTCGCAGCGCCCGCGCGTGCAAGCACGCCAATGTCTCTGCGCTGGGGCAACGTATGCAAGTCTACCGGCATGCTCGGGTGCGGTGTCATGCTCGTCGACGTCCAGCGGTGTCGGCCGCGCGCGTAGACCTCTCCTGGTCGCGGAATACGGTCCCCGGTGAGCTGTATTGCAAATTTCTGCATTTGCGTCTAATAACGTACCCGTTTACAGCTCGTTCGGGCATACAGCTCATTCGGGCATTTTCTGGCCGAGGGAGGCCAATTGGAGGAGGTCGAGGGTGGCTGGGGTGCCAAAACGGCGATGCAGCCGGTAAGTTCATTGTTATAAGCCAAGACTTGCGCTAACTCACCTCGTACTGGGTTGTACAAGCGGGACGCGCAAGAAGTGCGGTGTCCGGCGTGGATGGAGGCCGGCGGGAGGGAGTTGTAGCGTGGGCGGCAGATAGGCGCGCATAGGAGGTCGCGCGCGACGCCCCGGCCCGTAGCCTTGATAAATGGTCTTGTAGTATTGGTAGTGTTGTTTCAATGATATACATCGTTTCTGAGAAGATACAGCGTGAATTAGGGGCTATATGAAGGTGTTAGGCAGGGAGGAGGGCTTACCTAGTGCCCTGCGTGTACTTAGTCGTCCGCGGCGGCTTTATGTCGAAGGCGACACTTTGGCGGGGCTCGGGGAGCCTCTCGGGGGTGTGTGTACACGTGTGGGACGTGCGTGCGGTCGTTGCGCAGCGCCGCGGCATCGCCGTCCTGTTTTTGCGCGTTTTTGAATGACCGCGCCGATCACCCTGGGTCCTGGGATGGTGCTCCATGGACCGGGCCTCCTTCACAATATCGACGTTTCGAAGCAGGTTAGTACGCACCTTCGTCTTCCGACATGGAGCACGGCGCAGATGCCGCGTCGCGTCTTGTACGATGCGCAGGCACGTTCCGGCTGCGAGCTGCAAATCTGGGCTCGGGCAGATTTCAGCAGCAGATCCTGTATTAGTAGCATCGGCGCAGGCGTACCCGTTGAGGAGCTGCCCAAGAGGGCGCAAGATGGGCGCTTATGTGAGTTGGGACAGCGCGGGGCGGGATGTCGACAGCGGATACGTCGTCGAGGCCGAGGGTGCTGCCAACGAGGTGGTTGTGTTGTGAGGAGGGCGAGGAAGTAGGCGGTGCGGTGGCCCCAGAGCAGCCGTGGTGGAGACTGGCAAGGAGGTGGACGAGCAGGTGCTTGCAGAGTCCGTGCCGCCATGCGAAAGTGGCGGGCTTCGCCGAGTGCGCGGACGCACACACACCTCTGTGGCGAGCCCATCGTCCTCGTCGTCCGCGACGGAATGCACGGCGGCGTTGCGGGCATACACGAGAGGTACAAATCGCTACAAGGGCGAATGTCAGCGAACATGGCCGTACGAGCACAATGGGGCACTTACAAGACCGTGCGGGGTGTTCACCGCGTACCACGCATGCGGACCCGGCTGTGCGGTACCTCGTGAGTTGAATATGCGATATCCATAGTCAAGGAAGCTAACATACCCTCTTCTCTGTTGTTCGCGCAATCCCTGGTCGAGGTAAGACTTTTGCAGGTGATCGGGGAGGGCTAGGTGGTCCTAGCCGGCGATCTATTCAGTGAGTCCGCCGTTTCGCGACGAGAAGCTTACAACATAACCTCTCTTAGTATCGTACAGCCCAATCGCGCAAGATTGCAACATCGAATAGGCGCACATAGTACGCAGCACATCGCAGACCACCTCGTGCGCGACGTCGCGGTCCGTACTCCTTGTAGTAGTCCTTGTAGGATTTGTATAGTTTCTTGGTTATCAAATATCTTGTTCCGGACATAAAACGGCCGGATTAGCGTGTGTATGCAGCTTCGAGACCAGCCGGTGCAGCTGCTTACTTGACCAAACTGTAAGTCTGCGGTCTGTGGCAGCTCGACGTCGAAGGCAGCGACTTCTGGGGCTGCTAGGGAGTGTCTTGCGAGTGTCCAAATATGTGCTATGCACGTCAACGGCCTGTGGGGCCGTCCGCGCTGTGGCGACCTGCCGATGCGCGTTTTTGAACGCCCGGCCCGATCGTCCTGGCTCCTTCGGGCCTGCGAAACGAGCTGGATCTCGTCTGATTTATTGACGTTCTGGGGTGGATAAGAACGCACCGTCGTTTTCCCGCGCGGAGCATTCCGCGGACGCGGACGCACGTTGCCCAGGCCTGTCCCGGCTGCAGACGGCGTATCTGCGCTCGCATAGAAGTCAGCAACAAATCGTGCATTAGTAGACAGCGCACAGACGTACCCGTTGGCGAGTTGCCTAAGAGGGCGCGGAGTGGGCACGTATCGGGCCGAGAGAGCGTCTACTTGGTTCTTGCTCAAAGGCCGGCCGGGGTGCGATGTGGACGGCGGAGACGTCCCCGAGACCGAGGTGTGCTGCCCGGGAGGGGCTGGTGGTGCGGGGAGGGGTGCAGAGCGAAGGGCGAGGCATGCGCAGGAGCCGATTGCGGCCGTGTGCAAGCTCCGTCGTCCATGTCGTCCTCGCAGGTCTGCACGTCAGACTGTGCATCACCGTGGACGTGCACGAGATGTGTGGAGAGCTGCGGACGCGGCGGGGTCAGCGGACGCGGCGGAACATGTGCGATACGGGGCACGTACGAGTCTGCGCGGCGTGATTCACGGTGCAGCGTCGATGGCGGACGTCGGGATACCGTTCCCGACCTCGCATGGGGCGAATCGCAGCCGCACGTGGCCATCTTGCACGGCTGGAGGGGAGAGATGCGAACGGGGCGCCTATTGCATTGAAGGCGAGATCGCGGAGAACTTTTGGCATCCTTCGACGGCGGGCTTGGGAGCGGGTGGGATGGATACCTGTGGGAATGGTCAGCCATCCAGTGCAATTGCGGGCGAAACGGACGAGACCTGGCACAAACCGGGCGGAATTGGGGGAAAGGGTGGGTTGAGATTGGTGTGCAATCGCCCGAAAGTGGACGCATGCGGAAGAGAGATACTGCGCGAGTGTAATGCACGCAATACGAAGGGCGAAGAGGGCAAGACAGGCGCGTGAGGGGAGGGTCTATCGCGTGGGGCACACAGACATGGCGGAGTCTCTCCGCAGAAACGGCCCAGCGGGGTGCAGGAGAATGGGCTATGGGCGGTGGCGAAGTGGCAAAGCTGAGGTACGAAAAGTGCGATGGGAGTCGACACAACAGGGACGGGGCTGACAGCCTGCAGAGGACAGCAGTGAGCACACACAGCGACAGAGGGCTCACGGAGTCTGTGTGCGGGCTGCATGCCCAACGATGCCTGTCCTTGCTGTGTCGTCGAGCCTCGCAGCCGTCCACGCCGGCCGTGCAGATTGCAAGTTGGCGATGAGGGCAGCGGCCGGCCCCCGGTGCGCGTTTCTGAACGGCGGGCCTGATTGCCGCCGTTTCTTCGGGGATCCTACAAACGTGCGGACTGTCATCTTATTATTGAGCGTTTCGTACACAGTTAGAACATACTGTGGTCTTCCCGCGGGTCCGCGCCGCACACCCGATGTGGCATCTTGCACGACCCGTGAGGTTGTCCGGTGAGAAACGGCGTGTTTGTGCTGGGAGGGCAGTCAGTGTCGAATCATGTATTAGTGGAATGGGCCAGAGCGTACCCGTTGAGGAGCTGCCCAAGGGGGCATCGAGCGGCGGGCGCCTATCTGCGGTGGGGAGCGGCCGCGGAGAGCGCGAGCGTGCCCGCCGAGTGTGTACATGAGCTGTGTGCGTGGTGTGTGCTTGGTGGCTGTGGTGTCGTGCATCGTCGTGGGCCATGGCGGCAGTGGGCATCGAGAGAGGTGCGCCGCGGCCGCGGTCGAGGCGCATTTTTGAACGGCGGGGAGGATCACAGCCGTTCATTCGGGGATCCTACAAATGTGCGGGCTCTCATCTGATTCGCGGGCATTTCGTACGAGGTTAGTACGTACCGTGTGCCTCCCGCCCATGGCGTGTTGTCGCGCCCGGCGCGATGCACGTGAGTGGCCTGGCTGGACACGGCGTCGTTGGGCTGGGATCGAGGTCAGGATCGAACGGTGTATCGGTAGAAACGGCCAGAACGTACTTATTGATGAGCTGCACAAGGGAGGGAGCGGCATGCGCCTGTTTTGTGCGAGGGCGCGTCGAGCTTGTGCACCGTAGATGCCGCACCGGGGGTGTCGAGGGCGAGCTGTAGGCATCCAGGATGTCGTCTGGAATGAGCAGTGATTCCCCTGGAAGTGCCGGGGCATGAGGAGGGTCCAGCGCGAGCAGAGGCTCCGTGTTATCGTCTAGATGGGGCCCTGCATGTCGCCCAGTGTGCTGCCAGTGTCAAAAAGCGTCGAGGATGTAGGGGATGGCTGCAGTCGAGCCTGAGTCGACGAGCAAGTGCGCACCAGGCACAGCGAGGAAAGAAACAGTGGTGTGACTGTCCGGGACGTGCAGGAGAGCTGCCGGTGGCGGTCAGATTGAGGTCGAGCTTGTACAGTAGGTTCTGGATCGCTAACAAGTGCTCCAGCCTTTTCTTGCACGCAGAACGTGCTCTGCAGACTTGAAGGAGCACGCATGCAGCAGGTGGACGAGAGGCAAGACAGCCTGGGAGGGTGCGGAGGTCAGAGCGCGTGCGCGGACTTGCAGGAACGCGGACTCACCTCGATCGCAGTGCAGGAACGCGGCAGAGACGGGCAGGGGCAGCCGCAGACTGTCGAGGGAGACCAGCAAGCAGAGAGGTCGCAGAGAGGACATCGAGGCGGTAGAGAGCAGGATCTAAGCGAGTGCGCGATCACAGCGATTGCGCAACCCTAACCCTGCCGTGCGCCCACGCCGCCGCCGCACCGTCGACTACGACTGGGGTGATCGCTCTTGCGGGCATTCGGGGTCGCTGTCGCCATGTCGGGTGTCAGCAAGTACTGTCGATGACCGAGGAGCCGGGAGCTGTGAGCGGACAAGGGCGGAGAGGCGAGGGACTCTGCGTGTGGAGGGAGGAGGGGAAATCCACCCCAACTTCGAAATGCACACTTGGGACGGCCAGCTCCCATCGTATTCTGTGCTAACGTAGTCGTACTGTACAGGGTAGAATCGCCAGGCCGGGGCGTCCAAAACTGCGACCTACAGAAGGGGAACATGTCCCCGGGGAGCCCACACTCACACTCCTCCCGCGCGCTCTCAGGACGCCGAAACCGCGTAAAACAACGCGCACTGTATCGTACTGTGTCCAGGGCACCGCGTGCGCCCCTGCGCCGCGCGCGTCATCGCGAAACCGTGCGGAAATCGTCCAAAGGCCAGGGGAGCCGGGGGGAGCACCGTCCTGCCGGCCTCTCCCCTCGCACGCCGTGCAGGCGTCCTGGCGCGTCCAAATCGCACACGGACATCGCCCTGTGCTGGGGTGTTCTGGGGAGGGCGGCTCAAGGCGGCTGGGTAGGCGCATTGGCGCGAAATCGCACACGGGAGACTCGGTGCCCGGGCAAGTCCAGCCGCCGAGGTCGTCGCCGCGGTCGGTTCTGCGCGGAACTTCGCTCATCGGTGCCGTAGGATAGTACCGTTCCGTACGTGTCGTCTCTCGCCGCTGCGACGTCGCGTTCTGGCGGAATCGAGAGTGGAGTGGTCAAAGGGCGCCTAAAGTAGCTCTTGGGGCCAGGTTCGCCGCTCGAGCGCGATGCAGAGCCCGTGTCGCTCCCGAACTTTGTGTGCATGGAGCACAGGCTCGTACCGTTCAGGACGCGTCAAAACGAGGCGGCGGCGACCTCGCGTTCTGGCGGAATTGAGGGCCGGAGCCTCGGGACCACCCAAATGGCTGTTGCAGCCAAGTCCAGCCCCAGCCCCTCGCGGACGCCCTGGTCGCGTGCCCGTGTCGCCTAGCGTTGTGGATTATTGTACAGATCGATGATATGCGGCTGTGCCATCCCGGACCCGCGGAATCCAGAGACGCAGAGCAGGGGGCCTCCAAGTGGCTGTGGGCCCCGAGTGAGCTCCGGAGGCCGTGTGGCACTGGAAATGCGCCCGCAGATGGCCCTGAGCTGTGTAGTGCGGGGGCGCTGCAAAATGCGTGCGCGTCGTCGCGGAATTGAAAGTTGGAGGATCGAGGGGCCATAACTGGGTGTGGGAGACAGATCCAACGCTCTAGCGCGTCGCAGACGTTGTATCGACCCGGGACTTCGCATGCAGGTACCTGAGTATCGTACCGTTCCGTATGCGCTGTCTCGAAGCGGCTGCGGAGGGGCGGAATCGAGACCGGCAGTCGAGGGAGGCGCTCAGAGCAGCTGCTGGAGCCGTACCGAGTCCCGAGCGTGTTGCAGATGCCCTGGGACGCCTGAATCGCGCGAGGAGTACGTAGAAAGTCCTAGGACGCCGGAAAAGGAAGCGAGACACGGCGGAATTGTGTTGTCGTCACGGAATCGAAGAAGAGAGTGTTGAGATCTGGAGAGAAGGTTGTGGGAGCCGAGGCCGCCGCCGGGCCGTTCGCAAGAGTGGTGGGGTGCCAAGATCGCGTACGCGATGTGCCAAGAGCCGTACCGTGTGATAGAGAGAGGACAAAGAGAGCTGCAGCACGGCGGTCTCGCAAGAGGAGGTTGTGAGCAGCCCGGGGAGACAAGTGCACTCGGGCTGGCTTTCGGTGGCTGCCGGGCACGTCAGAGAGATCAAATCACACAAAAAACACGTGCCGTACCGTTGGAATTCATTACAGAGCTCGTATGCGCAACCACGAGCCTCTGGGCGCCGTTCGAGGCCGCCGCGCGGCCGCACAAGCCATGGTGGGACACAAGCGCATATTAGCGCCCACGCTGGAGGATGTGGTTCCCAATGGCGGTGGGGGATGGCACCAGCGGTCGGAGAGGGCGCGGATGGCTCAGGAAGCGGGGATGGGCCTGCTGGTATGCCCGCACACAAACGCATGAGTGGCCCGCGGCGGTGGCATCAAGAACGACCCAGGGCCCCAGGCGAGGGCTCCGGGATGGTGCAGCAGGCTGGGTGGGCAGGGAAGAGTGAGGTGGGGTGGGCATAGAGGGTGCAATGGTGCGATCGTGGTCCTGGTCGTGGACATGAGTGCGGGCGCAAGTGTGGACTGGAGGATGGGGGTGCTGGGGGTGTGTGCCGGAAGCAGAGCGGGAGGATGGGATGGCCGGCCAGGCCGGCCTTAACCTGGCACGTCCGAGAAGCTCATACTCTCACTCGGCGAGGCCAGAGCAAGGCGGGAGCATCCTCTCGCGTGCTAGGGGACAGTGGCATAGGCGCAGCGCAGGCAATATGGCCTGGAAGGAGGAGGAAGAGGAGAAGGCGCCAGCACTGCGGTGCCCGCCTGTTGGCGCTGGCCCGGCTTCCTCGGTGTTCTCGGCCTCGACCACCGGCCCGAGCCCACGTGGCTGTGCTAGCGTGGCCTCGGGCGGCTGTGGCCGGCCTCTGTGCGTTCTGCTGGCACCCCACCACCCTCCTTCTCTGCGCGGCCACCCCCGGAGAAGCTCCCAATATCCCCGGAGAAGTCCCTGTGCTTCGCGAATCCCCCTTGCACCTTACAGTGAGTTAAATTGTGATTTTAATAAGTTAATTCTTACCTGATTTCTCCGGCCAGCTGCAGCATCTTTTGAGTAGGCTCGATGTTCTGCAGAACTCGGTGCAGCAGACTCACAGGAGTGCTTTACTCAGGTTCATTGCCGCCCTAACCGTAGTCATACATCTCCATGGGACGGAGAAGCGCAAAGAACTCAAAGAATGCTGCGGTGAGTGATCCGCCCGCTGTCCAGCATGCCTGGCACAAGATTTTGCAGGCCATCGCTACCAGGCCCTTTCTGCTTGACCATATTGCGCGCTGTCTCTTCCCGGACAGCCGCAATCTGGTCACAGAAAACCTATGGGAGCTGGCCAACAAATACCTACCTGTGCCTCCGTCTCCACACTGTGATATCTTCTCCGACTTTCTTGCCCAGTGCTCCCGCTCTGGTGGATGCGTGCCCAAGGAAGTCGGGAAAGCTGCCGCAGACTTCCGCGCTGCAAGGGCCCAATACCAGAGGCTGCGGAAGTCGGTGGTGCACCAGTGCCGCTTGGACATCACGGGGAGCTCCGATGCGGACGTGCAGAAGCGTAGCGCGTTCCTGGCGAAGTGCAAGCGGGTCACAGTGGAGAAGCATGCTACTCCCTATCCGCCGCCTCAGCATTGGGTGGCAGAGGGTCCCAAGGCGTACTTCAAATGGAAGACGTGGTGTAGCAGTCATAAGCTGCACGACAAGCGCGAGGGGCATTGGCCAGTCCACCGCTTATGCAAGGACAAGCTCGCCTATGTTGCAGAGGCCGACGAGAGTGTTCTATTCTATGACCCGGATGGAAACCTTGTCGGCTTCGTGATACGCGACTTCTGCGCCAACCAGAAGATTGTCGACACCATTGCGGAGGATGTGGCCATGGGTTGTTCTTATAAAAAGAACGTCAGGGTGTGTTTTGCATATTTTTCATTATGACCGCAACATTCAGTATTTTTGCAGAAGGACGATGTTGGACACATAGCCCATAGCGGCTTCACATCGGGCAACCGCAAGGATCCGCAGGGTTTTGGCTGGGCTCGCAATCTGTGCCGTGCTGCACAACGCAATGACCCTGCTTTCATCGAA